TTTGGTGTTTACGTTCTGATTGGATGTAGATGATTTCTTATGGATATATTGGAAATATCTTGAGTGTTGTTACTTTTGAATGGACGCCAAAGATTCATCTATAACAATATATAAATGGAAAATAATGGTTTGGTGTAGCCTATTTTGTTTTACCTATTATGCCTTTTAACCATTATTTTAAAACTACCAAATACACCAATTAAATAGTAACCGTTTATTTCTCAATTTAAAACTTCTACATAATAACCGCTCATTTCTCAATTTAAAACTTCTACGTTTTCTATTTTTCTTTCTTAATTATCGTTAACTTCTGGCCAAATTCTCTCTTTCATTTGCAAATCATCTCTCTTACTTTGGTAATTACTACAAATTTCTCCTTCACATCAACTTTGAATCTTTAGATTATAAGTTGTCTCTCTTTTTCCTATTGAATCTTTGAGTTGTGTTTATGTGTGTGTGACTATCATTATCTTTATGGGTAAATCAAGTAGTATAAACATGAGATTTGCTCAATGGAAAACAAGAATTATGAGACATCCAAATAAAAAATTCATATGTATCTGTGTGTATTTGGTGTATTGTTAATTTGTTATTCATTATCAGTTTCGCCTAACTATTTTTTTTAATTATGAGACTGTCAGCCATCAATTATGTTGTAATTTTTTGCATATTCTCTCATTTGGAACAACAGTGAATGTGTATGTATTAAACTATAGTTTTCATTTTATTAACTGTCGTGTTGAATGGGTGGAATATAGTGTCATGTTGAATGGGTGGATTATAGACAAGAAACATTTGTACTCATTCACACTATATATAATTAATATGTATTCTTCATACCATTATCTATCTTGAAATTTGGCTTTACAATTAAAGTATATCCTTATTTTAGTTTTATTTTTTTGGATGCAATTTCTTACTTATTATGTTTTATCATTTTTCCTTTATCATGTACAACCATTTTATTAAAAATGATTTCATACTATTACTTGCCTCTTTGTATTCATTCCATAATTAACATGTGCATTAATACACTTTTGGTGTATATAGATTGTGATCATGATTTTGAGTATAAAGTATAATTTATATTATCTATAACAATATATAAAGGGAAAACAATGGTTTGGTGTAGCCTATTTTTTTTTACCTATTATGCCCTTTAACCGTTATTTTAAAACTACCAAATACACCAATTAAATAGTAACCACTTATTTCTCAATTTAAAACTTCTACATAATAACCGCTCATTTCTCAATTTAAAACTTCTACGTTTTCTATTTTTCTTCCTTAATTATCGTTAACTTCTTGCAAAATTCTCTCTTTCACTTGCAAATCATCTCTCTCACTTTGGTAATTACTACAAATTTCTCTTTCACATCAACTTTGAATCTTTAGATTATAAGTTGTCTCTCTTTTTCCTATTGAATCTTTGAGTTGTGTTTATATGTGTGTGACTATCATTATCTTTATGGGTAAATCAAGTAGTATAAACATGAGATTTGCTCATTAGAAAACAAGAATTATGAGACATCCAAATAAAAAATTCAGATGTATCTGTGTGTATTTTATGTGTTGTTAATTTGTTATTCATTATCAGTTTTGCCTAACTGCTGTTTTTAATTATGAGACTGTCAGCCATCAATTATGTTGTAATTTTATGCAGATTCTCTCATTTGGAACAACAGTGAATGTGTATGTATTAAACTATAGTTTCCATTTTATTAACTGTCGTGTTGAATGGGTGGAATATAGTGTCATGTTGAATGGGTGAATTATAGACAAGAAACATTTGTACTCATTCACACTATATATAATTAATATGTATTCTTCATACCATTATCTATCTTGAAGTTTGGCTTTACAATTAAAGTATATCCTTATTTTAGTTTTTTTTTTTTTGATGCAATTTCTTACTTATTATGTTTTATCATTTTTCCTTTATCATGTACAACCATTTTATTAAAAATGATTTCATACTATTACTTGCCTCTTTGTATTCATTCTATAATTAACACGTGCATTAATACACTTTTGATGTATATATAGATTGTGATCATGATTCTGAGTATAAAGTATAATTTATATTATTTTGTAATGATAATTTCAGCATCTTTATTCAAAACCAGAATTTTTTCTTCTTTTAGTTTTTAACTTTTTGTTTGTAATCCTAATTATGTTATTCATTTGTTATTTTTTTAATATATTTTATGCCATTCAAATAATAGAAAAAAAATATTTCTCTTTATTTTACTAAAAGACATTGATATGATTTCTATTGTATTTTGCCATCTTTATTTTTTCATTAAAATAAATTTATATTAAAAGAAAGTATTATTAATGAGAAAACATTATTAATTTAATGACAATGCATTATTATTTAATGGGTATATTTTTTAGTTTTAAAATAGCAGTAAAGGACATATATGGAACAAATATAGGTCAGTCCAAGATAATGTATCGCTTTATATATAGTTATGCATAATATTTATAGATTATTTATAATTAACTATTACTATTTTTTATTTTTTAAAACATAAATAATATTTTTTGATAATAAATTTATTATTATTTTTAATTTATTATGACTACTAAATTGAGATATAAGAGAGGAGAGAACAAAAAAATTTAAGAGCGACAAAAATCCCACTCACTCTTATCTCTTCTCTCTTTCCATCTCTTTTATTGTTATTGTAATCATCCAAATTATTTTGAAAATGGTTTTACTATTTTTAAGAATTGTGATTATGAGAATATATTGTGTTTATAAAAATTTTCTTAAATTTTCAAATTTATTTTGAATATTAATTTTGTTTTACTCTCTTTTATATGGTCTTTATTTATGTCCCTCACAATTTATTTTTCTAACTTATTCTTCTACACACCATATAACTGCTGCCTCATTACACAACATATAATTGCATGTGATAATTTTTCTGGCAGTTACAATGAAATGATAACAAACTATAATCATCTTGCTTACAATTTTCTTTTTTATTTTATTATTTAAAATCAATAAAAGAATCTTTAGAAAAAGTTTATGCTACTTAATATTATTTCTCCAATTATAAACAAATACATTGAAAAAAATATGAAAATGCGACAGTTATTTTTATAATAAATACTCTTAAAATTTAAACCACTTATTATTTTAATTATCTTCTTTTTAAAATATCCTCTCATGCCTTTTAATTAAATTGAAACAAAAATACAAATTTCAAAATATTTTTAAATTATTTTTCTTAATTTTTATATATATCACATTTTTCTTAATTTAAATCAATTAGTTAAATTTATGTTTAATTAGGTTCTCAATCAATCTCCTGGTAGTTTGTTTTTTAATCAATGAAATTTTAATTTTTTCATATAAATTTCTCAAACATAGCAGTTGTCAATTGAGACAATTTTAGTTATTTGTATAATAGAAAATTGTAGCTTTACTCAGCCACTTATATTCCCATCAAATAAAATATTCGTGATTTATTTTTATTTTATTTTGTGTTATGTAGATTAGTTATTCCACATGGTTTTTAATAATTCTTACGTACTATTTTTTTTTTGAGAGAGGTCATACTTACTAATTTGAGATTTAAGTTGCCAAATTATTTAATTTAAAACCAAAATTAAGAAGAAAAAAAAAGATATATTATAATTTGTCGCGTGTACGCTTTTAAAAAACATATAAATACACATGAAGGAAATATATCACAAAGTTTTTATATTAAAAATAATTTATATTAAAAAAGTATCTGTTTATATTTTATATGTGTGCCAATTAAAAAAAGCGAACAAAACGGGCACAGAATGCCCGTTTGGACGCTAGTATTATGTATAAAATGGATAACCTTTCCCATCAATTCTTATGTAAAACTGAGGTAAAAGGTTATTTCTTTTGTATATAAAAATTAATATAAAATAGGAACAATTCTCTTTAGTGTCTAAATTAACTGAGGTAATATCTTATTTCTATTGCAAAAAAAATGGTGCATTAATGGAAAAAATTAAAAGTAACATGTATTGTTTTTTTTTATAAATTTTTTACCATTGACAAATTTTTTTGTGTGTTGCAATATGTTCTAAGTATGATTTGGAATAAACTTGTTAATGTTGTCAACTTAAGAAAGCAATATATCATATAGTATATTTTCTTTGACTGACAACATTGAGAAGTTATTCCAAGATATAACAATGGCCTTGCAAGAGGTGGAAACAACAATAACAATAAAAGCAACACTATTATGTAAGATAGATTGTAAGAACAGAAAATTGTTTAGTTCAAGATTGATAAAATCATGAACAACAACACACCTTGAATGATTTCTTAATTAATTAAGAAAATTTGAAGATTTTTTTGTCTTCCAATCCATCTTAAAGAATGATATTTATGAGTTAAGAGTGGTTGTATGAGTGAGTTAGATTTAGAGAAAACCTTAATAAACAAATGCTTTTATAAGTAAATTTAGCTACCAAAAGAATACATTAATTAATTTTTTAATAAAGTAAATAAGTAAAAAGAAATGCGCTATTTTTAAATAAATAAAACCATTTGAAATTCGAACCATGTCCTCTCATTTAGTTTTTCCTTCGGTCATCTATTCCAATCGAAGGAATAAATGATATTTTCTACAAATAATTGAAGCGTTATGCATCCATAAATTATACGTCGATTATCTATTAGTCGAGGTGAAATTTTTATCATAAAATATATTACTTATACTAATATTTATCATCTTATATACTTAATTTAAAAGCATATCAATAAAAATAAAATGATACAAAATAGTTATTTTAATAGCAAATCAAAACAAATATATATAGGAAAGAGTACAACAAACAAACAAGCAAGAGAGCACAGCGACCAGCTGTGCTGAAAGAAACAAAAAGCCGTAAAAGAGCAACGGGTAGGAGAGAGCAGTTCCCCTAACCACACAGAAAGAAAACCATGCATATCCTTATTCTATTATTTTATTAAGCTGGATATTGGTTGATTACAAACTCAGTGCTCAGCATTTGAAATAGCAGAAGCAAGCCAAACCAATCCCTTGACGGTGACAAGCACCGAAAGTTGCACTCTCCACATCGATGCACTGTCTTTTACAGTTTCCTGAATTAGCACAAAACCCTGACCATGTTTTACTTCTCTTTTGGCACACTTTTGCTTCCACCTCTACACATAATAAGAAGAAAATAAATGCAAATTAAGAATGTTACTGGTATAGAAAATCAATGAATAAATATAAGTAATTTCTTTATCAGTGTGTTGTACCCGAAGTGGAAAAAAGTAGAAGGGCTAGGCAGATGAACATGAGGATGGTGAAGAATTTACTACTAGCGGAAGTCATGGTTGTTAAATGTAAGAAAAACATGTTTGTGTCCAATGTATTTATAGTAAGCATTTTAAGTAGAAATTTTCAAATCTGAATTAAAATCGAGCCGGCTAGAGATTTTCAATTTTTTTTATATCATTTGATAATCTATTTTAATCCGCAGAGTCTATCTAGAAAATTAGTCAGGCATGGAAAAATTTAATAGGAAGAAAATCAAATTGAATAATAATAAGGTGACATTTATTGTTTAAAATTTCTGACTTCTTTTGTTTTAAAAGTTACATTCAAAACCGAAAGTTGAATAATAATAAGGTGACATGCATTGTTTTGAATTTCTGACTTTTTTGTTTTAAAAATTTGGAGAGAAATTGAGAAGATTTAGCAGAAGTTCTTATGGGACGGTTGTGAGGATAGGAGAAAGATTCATCGGGTAGGTTGGAATTAAGTGTGTAGGTCCAAAGATACATGGGGACTACGGGTAAAAAGTATTGAAGAATTCAATAAAGCTTTTGCCCATAAAAATGGAAGTGGATGTTTTTGAAGGAGAAAGACTCTTTTTGGGTGTCATTGTTGCCCTACAACAAAAATGATTTTGGCAACATCACAAACCGGTATTTAAAGTGTAATAACCATAGCCTAAGGTTTTAGGAGGCGGTTTATCAGACGTGATAATTGTGATCATATTTTGTTGTTAGGATATAAAATTCATAATAGAATACCAACATTAACTTGGTGGAAGAATCTATCTTTAATAGATGCAAATGCTAATTGGTTTGGTTTAATTTTACAGGTAACATTTCTTTCAACCTTGGAGAGGGAGATCTTATCCCCTTTTGAGTGATTATATGGAGTCGAGATCTCTCCTTCAAAGTTCTTTTTATAGATTTGTATCAAGCCATCTTTAAGATGAAAGAACCAGTCACAAACATTGGATATTGGACCTCTGAGGTTTGGAATTGGGGAGATCTTGAGTTGACAAGACCAATGCATGAAGCCATTCAATTGATAATGCATGAAATCAATGTTGAAATATTAAACTTGATTTGAGCCTAAACATATTATTTGGATTTTTGGGCTTAGTTATTTTGGACTTAAGTAATTTTAATTAATGGTTCTAGAAAACTCTTGTAATGTTTGGGGTGTCTAGATATTTCTTAGGGTTGTAATATTCTCTAGAATGCTCTTGGAATTCCTAGAGTTGAGAACTCTCTAGAATTAGTGTGTCTAGAGTTCTCCTTAGAGTACTATAAATAGAGATGTAATTCTACACTTTTGCATCAAGAAAAATACAAAGTTCTCTCTTCCATAAATAATTCTTCTACCTATCAAATTTCTCTTTAAGCCTCTAATATTCCCACACACTTTTCCTAAACACAAAAGGTCTTATTTCCAACAAAGTGGCATTAGAGCTTGAAGGTCCTCAAAAGATGGCAAATGGAGGTTTCCCTTTTCAAATGTCGATGCTCACAAAGAACAACTATGACAATTGGAGTATCAAGATGAAGGCGCTACTAGGAGCTCAAGATGTGTGGGATATTGTTGAGAAAGGCTTCAAGGAGCAAGATGAAGCCTCCTTAAGCCAAGGTGTAAAGGAGACATTAAAGGAGTCAAGAAAGAGAGACAAGAAAGCTCTCTTCCTCATTTATCAATCGGTGGATGAAGATACATTTGAGAAGATCTCCAATGCAACGACGGTCAAAGAAGCATGGGACAAGCTTCAAACTTGCAACAAAGGAGTGGAGCAGGTGAAAAAGATTCGTCTTCAAACTCTTAGAGGTGAGTTTGAACGTTTATTTATGGAAGAGTCTGAGTCAATTTCTGATTATTTTTCTCGAGTATTGTCCGTAGTCAATCAACTTAAAAGAAATGGTGAAGATGTTAATGAGGTTAAAGTCATGGAAAAAATACTTCGCACTTTAAATCCAAGTTTTGACTTCATTGTTACCAACATTGAAGAAAACAAGGATTTAAACACCATGACTATTGAGCAACTTATGGGTTCCTTACAAGCATACGAAGAAAAACAAAAGAGAAAAACTAAACAAAAGGAGACTATGGAACAACTACTACAACTCAATGCAAAGGAAGCAAACTATGTGAGTTACAAGAGTCAAAAAGGACGAGGTCATGGCCGAGACCTTGGACGTGGACGAGGACATGAGGGAGAAAGAAGAGGAAGTTACAACAACTACTCCAACAACTTCAACAATGGAGAGAGAAGTTGGAATCCACAAGCAATAAGAGGCCGTGGCAATGGAAATTCATGTCCAAGGTGCAACAAGTTACAAATCAAGTGCTTCAATTGCAACAAAATCGGTCACTATGCATTTGAGTGTAGATTCTCAAAGAAGGTTGTGGAGAAAGCTAAATTTGTAGAAGAAAAAGGTGGAGAAGAAGAAACTTTGTTGCTCGCGTTCCAAAACCAATTTGAAGAGAAAAGAAACAAGTGGTACCTCGACACCGGCGCAAGCAACCACATGTGCGGCGATCGAAGCATGTTCGTAGAGATCAATGAAGCGACAACTGGAAATGTCTCATTTGGAGATGACTCAAAGATACCGGTCAAAGGCAAAGGTAAAATTCTCATACGCTTAAAGAATGGGAGTCATCAATTCATATCCAACGTCTACTATGTTTCTAACATGAAAAATAATATTTTGAGCTTGGGACGATTATTGGAGAAAGGATATGACATCCACTTGAAAGAACATAGTCTTTTCTTAAGAGATTGTGGGCATAACTTGATCGCTAAGGTGCCTATGTCAAAGAATAGAATGTTCCTCTTGAACATTCAAAATGATGTGGCAAAGTGTCTCAAGGCCTGCTATACTGACTCTTCGTGGCTATGGCATCTACGATTTGGACACCTCAACTTCGGTAGTCTAGAATGTTTGTCAAAGAAGGAGATGGTGAGAGGCTTGCCTAGTATAAACCACCCAAACCAACTATGTGAAGGATGTCTAATTGGGAAGCAATTCCGAAAAATCTTTCCAAAGGAATCAACATCAAGAGCAACAAAACCACTAGAGCTCATACACACTGATGTCTGTGGACCAATCAATCCAAACTCTTTTGGTAAGAATAAATACTTTCTCCTATTTATTGATGATTATTCTAGAAAAACATGGGTTATTTCCTGAAGGAGAAGTCAGAAGTGTTTGAAAACTTTAAGAAGTTCAAAGCCCTTGTGGAGAAAGAAAGTGGTCTTTCTATTAAGGCTATGAGATCTGACCGAGGAGGAGAGTTTACTTCAAATGAGTTCAACAAATATTGTGAAGAGCATGGAATCCGCCGTTTACTAACAGTGCCAAGATTGCCATAACAAAATGGAGTAGTGGAGAGAAAGAACCGGACCATACTTAATATGGTGCGAAGCATGCTTAAGAGTAAGAAGATGCCGAAAGAGTTTTGGGCCGAAGCAGTGGCATGTGCGGTTTACCTGACAAACCGTTCCCCAACAAGAAGTGTGCATGAGAAGACACCACAAGAAGCATGGAGTGGAAGGAAGCCAGGGATCTCTCACCTCAAGGTGTTTGGAAGCATTGCATATACCCACGTTCCAGATGAAAGGAGAACAAAGCTCGATGATAAAAGTGAGAAGTATGTATTTGTGGGTTACGACTCAAGCTCCAAAGGGTATAAGCTCTATAATCCAAATAGCGGAAAGATTGTCATAAGTCGTGACGTGGAGTTCGAAGAAAAAGATTGTTGGGGTTGGAGTGTTCAAGAAGACAGGTATGATTTTGTTCCTTATTTTGAAGAAGAAGAAGATGAAATGGAACAACCAATGATAGATGAACATATTACACCACCTGCCTCACCGACACCAAGGTTGGATGAAACAAGCACAAGTGAGAGGACACCACGACTAAGGAGCATTGAAGAGCTTTATGAGGTAACCGAAAACCAAAATGACATTAACCTCTTTTGTCTTTTTGGTGATTGCGAGCCTCTAAGCTATCAAGAAGTTGTTGAAAATGTAAAGTGGAGAGACGCCATGGATGAAGAAATAAAGTCAATCACGAAGAATGATATGTGGGAACTTACTACACTTCCACGAGGACACAACGGAATCGGAGTAAGATGGGTGTACAAGGCGAAGAAGAATGCAAAAGGAGATGTGGAGAGATACAAAGCAAGACTGGTGGCAAAAGGCTATATCAAAGACAAGGAATTGACTATGATGAGGTATTTTCCCCCGTTGCTCGTCTTGAAACTATTAGACTGATCATTTCTTTGGCAGCCCAGAATGAATGGAAGATCTATCAAATGGATGTGAAGTCGGCCTTCTCGAATGGTTTTCTCGAAGAATAAGTTTATATCGAGCAACCACAAGGATATGAAGTAAAAGGGCAAGAAGAAAAAGTCCTCAAGTTGAAAAAGGCGTTGTACGGACTCAAGCAAGCACCGAGAGCTTGGAATGTTCGAATCGACAAGTACTTTCGAGACAAGAATTTCATCAAGTGTCCATATGAGCACGTACTCTATATCAAAGCGCAAAGTGGAAATATTTTGATTGTTTGCTTATATGTTGATGACTTGATCTTCACTGGGAACAATCTAAGCATGTTCGAAGAGTTCAATAAAGACATGTCAAATGAATTTGAGATGACAGATATGGGGCTCATGGCATATTATCTTGGCATTGAAGTAAAGCAAGAAGACAAAGGAATTTTTATCACCCAAGAAGGCTATGCAAAAGAAGTCCTTAAGAAGTTCAAGATGGATGATGCCAATCCGGTTGGCACCCCGATGGAATGTGGCAGCAAGTTGAGTAAGCATGAAAATGGAGAGATTGTGGGTCCAACTCTTTACAAAAGTTTGGTTGGAAGTCTACGTTACTTGACAAGTACAAGGCCAAATATTCTCTATGTTGTAGGAGTCGTAAGTTGTTACATGGAAGCTCCAACAACAACTCACTTCAAGGCGGCAAAGAGAATCCTTCGATATATCAAAGGTACAACAAACTTTGGCTTACACTATTACTCTTCTAACAATTAATTGTTGGCTATAGT